GACTACATTTTCTTGACTGACTTTCTGTTGATGGTCTGGCCCTTTTGATACCAAAAATAATTCTCGAAAATGCACCTTAAGCCATGTATTTTTGGAAAAATTATGATTCCGTTATTATTGTTACAATTTATTATTACAATTCTTTTTTAATAGTTATTTATTATTATAATTTATTATTAATGATCTATGATCAAATTGTTAAAATTAACAGTATGTTTTATAAGAACATACATAAGTAAAAGTTATAATGCGAAAGATTGAATATCCAACGTCTTAGTTAAAAGATTAGTAAAAGTTTAATGCAAGAAAAACTTTCACTTAGAAATTAAACTGCGTATTATAAGTTCCCGAAGGAAAATGATACTGGTCAGAGGTAAAGATAAGGGAAGAGGAGGATGATTCTCGTGGGATACATTCGAAACAGTAGACGACCTCGACGATAATGGCTAATAGGCCTTTGACTAAAGCTTCTCATCAGAGAGAAGAGCTGGAGGAACGTACCGAGGTTTCTCATACTAAAGTCTGTCTTTATCTTCTGATAGAAGGTGATACATGAAAGTTTCATATACCGTAGTTTCACTGGGAATTAAGGGAACAATGTTGTAGAAATTTCTATAACTTTCTATCGAACTCTTGTGGTATAGTTTTATTTTACACAATATTAAACTAATTATTATCTAGAGAATTTAAAAAATGTACATATTATAATTGAATATTTCATTAACAGATTTAAATCATTTATTAAAAAAAAGGTGATACATTTTAGATGATTATTTATTCAAATATGAACGTCACTTATCACTGAAGATTAAATTTTCCATTTCACAATAATCCAGGGTTTATCGGATAGCAGATTGCATTATTTCTATTACGTCATATTGGAGTGATACAGTTTTTATGTAAAGGAGTAAACGTGTTACATTCTATAGCCCTTATCACGATAAATAATTTGTTATTTATTTTGCATCAGTTCAAAAATCCAATTTGTTGGATCAAATTTATTAGTCCATGATTACTTATGACGTTTTTATAAATTTCTGTTTATAGCATTATTTTAAATACAGAGACAATTTTTTTTTAATAAAAGTATTTCCATCTCATCAAATAAGGACGTGATAATGTTCTTAATTCATTGATTTAGTAATCCCACATTTTACGATCTGGAGAATATTTTATTATCCTCATATTATTTTAGCCATAATCTTTTAATACCAAGAAAGTCGGAATTTTCAACTTCACAAGAGACTTACGCCAAGAAAAGGTGACGAATTCATGAATGTAAAGCAGTTCAACCATTCAATTTTATAGCCACCGTCTGCCAGCAATCTGAGATTCGTCCCTGTATAATCTATCTCACCATAGATTTTGTTGTATAATGTATGCGAATTTTTTCAGAGAGCAGAGGACAGAAAAAAATCGCGACCAATATTTAATAAGAAAAACTTGGAGATCCGCTTCCAGGGAAAATGTTTTATAAAACTTCCTTTATAACAGAATTGGATTTTTTGTTGTTGTAAAAAATCCACATTTTGTTAAAGCTGGAATTATTTTACTATAAGAGATAACTTTGCGTGATTTTTTCCTTTTTCCTAGTTTATACTCTAATGCAATATTTTAAAACATACCAAATTAATTTTATTCAAATTAATAATATCTAGATAAAACCATAACAATAATTATCTACCGGAATTTACGCAGACCTTTTGAATAATTCAATATTGCGAAAATGTATATTCCCCGGTTTAGAAAATGTCCAGATATAGATGATTGTTAATTTTCTCACGAATCTGCCATTTCATGCTCGAAATGGATTAGCAAAATTTTTCACAATTGAATTTGAAAAAGGCAGAAGGTCTCATCGAAAAATAAAAGACGACAACAACGACGAACGCAACAGATAGAACGACAATCACTAGACAAAAAATACACGCGAAAGTTACGAAACAAAAGAAAAGTGACAAATAGACTAGAGAGAAGAAGAGTAAAAAGTATTTAACTAAAGACAACAGACATGAACATATTAGATTCATATCCGGACAAAAAACAAAGTTACAAGATGATTTCCCTTCAAAAATCTCGCAAGATGAAATAAACTGTTGATTTGAGACAACGTCTCTATGAATATCGCGAAGGAAGGAAAAGGACGAAATTCAAAAAACAAAGATAAAAAAAATAAGAAGAGAACAAAATATAACGATGAAAAAAAGAACAATCGAAACCATGATGAGAACAACAATTTCAGTGACGAGGACATAGACCAAAATACTAAGAAATTAATAAGGAACGCTTTAGAACTACTCCTCTTCTTCAAAAACTGATTATTTTTAAATCACATTTAAAATAATAATATTAAAATATGTTAAAATATAAAAGAAAAAGCAATTGAAAATTAAAATTATTAATTAAAATACTTATTATAATGCATATATTAGCATTTGTGGTATACTATAGTTTATCGAAAACAATTTTGTCTGCAATTGAATCTGCGATCAATATGAATCTAGTCAAAGAACAATGAGTTTCAATGCTCATTGTATAATAGCGCAGAACTTTTCAATATTTCCACTGAATTATTATAAAGTAATTAGAAATCAATACTGATTTGTAAGTAGTTGAAATACTTCTAATTTTATTCAATAAAATCATTCAATTCTCCTAAATTTATTAACTAGATAATGCTCGAAAATAGAGAATAATAAAAACATTAAAAAAAGAAGAAAGAGCAGTAAATGCGAGAATTGAAGTAACAAATGCATAAAGTTTTTTACTTCTTCAAACTTTGTACACTTAATAATAAATTTTGAGTGTTCGATTTAATGTTTAACTTCTTAAATTGGAGAGAAGCCAACAATTTCTCCATTAATACTATCATTATTATATCAAAAATGTTTGTGAAACTTTAACAATATTTTGATTTAAAATGCAAATACATTTTCGTTTTGATTAATATTAATTAATATAGGATCAACATAGTTGTAAATCTACTGTATTGATCAAGACTGTTTTTGGAGATATAGTTACATAAGACAATTGATTTAAATACTCGATAATGTATAGGCAAAATGTTAATAAATGTTTATTAATAATTAATTGTAAATTAATAGTTATTTTATAATATTTATTAGCTATTAAAAGAGAATATATTTTTCTAAACATAATTTCCCTCTGTGTTGCAAAATGAACGTAATTATTGATGCAAATACAATTGAAAGAGAATTATTGAAGCAAATGAACAAAGGTTTATTAAACTTCAAACAATTCTCATTCATAGTTCCATAATACCAGTTACATTAAAATCATCTAAAGTCGATTGGAATATGAAACTCGATTTCAAGTTGGATGATTGATGTCTCTAATATTATAATTCATTACTCAGAGACTCTTTACTCATTTTAATTAATTATTATCCTATCAAATAATACTCAACTTGCTTCCATGATACAAATTACTCTCATTGCGGTCAAATATTGACTTTGTAACGCATGTCCATTCCACAGCTCTTGTTAAATTGATTTTCCAATATGATTATGAAACTTTTCTATATATACTCTTATTTTCGCTAACTGAATAAATTTACATTTTTAAATTAAGTTCTAACGAAGAATTATTATGTAATTTATCAAATCCTCATTTTTTTGCTTACAGTCTTTCAGTGAAAAAAATTAAAGACTTGTTATATAAATTTTTATAATTTTTATAATATTTTAGATGTTCCAGTATAGTTACGTCATCGATCTAATAGCTGAGTTAACGCAAGTGTTCCTGTAACAATACTTTTCCGAAAATACATGGTTTAATGTGCATTTTCGAGAATTATTTTTGGTATAAAAAGGGTCAGACCATCAACAGCAAGTCAGTGAAGAAAATGTAGTCGTCAGTATTATAAGTCTCAAATTAAGAAGTGGTGCTCCGTACAAGTTTTAGTCTAATTTTTCCATCATCAAGAACTGGTATCTTGCACGTGAGTTAAAAATTTCAATAGTGGTCCTTTCAAACGTCAGTCTAATATTTTTGTGTTGTCTACACACCAGTGAAAAGTACAAATATTCTTTATACCAAGTTTTTCTAAATCCTGTGTTCGGAAGTCTTGTTCGAGTTTGTGAATTCATAATTAATACAAGGAAAATTTACGAGGATCATAAGTCATAATTGTCAACCTGCAACCACTTAGCAGCTAATTTGCCTGCGTGAAAAGTCTATTGTATTTGGACGACGCAACCGTAAAGCAACATAAAGAGACATCAGATTCAGTTATTAGAAAGTTCGTGCATCAGCATCACTTTCATCTTTTCTATATTTCGTTCATTTTAAATACACACTTATTTTAAATAGAATTATTTCTTGATCATTTACCAAACCCCGTCTTAATTTTGATTATCACGAATTAAAATTAAATCTGAAAACACTAGGGAATATTATAATTTGGTTAGTTTGACGTAACAGTTTTCTGACCCCGTAAATCATAATTAGTATTTAGAAAGTTAATTACGATACGTTTAAGAACTTTTAATCTAAGTTATCATCAATCTCCGGGTATTATTCTTACTTGGCGCCAAAAAAGTTTCTAAAAACGGATCATCGTTGGACAATTATGAATGCATAGTGTAGAATTTTAAATTTCAAGCAAAGTCCCCACGATTATATATAAAGAAAGTGGAATTTTCCAAAAAGAAAAAAAAACCCAAATAATCATTAACAATAAATTTAAGAGAGTAATTATAAGCTCCTTATTTTCTTCAAACGGCAATCAACTTTAACCTAAAATGAAATAATTCTTACAAATTGTCTTAAATGTATGATATTTGATTAGCAAAAACTCAAATAAAAAAATATATAAACCCTTATCAGATTCTCTCCATTTAGGAAAACATTATTCTTAGTCTTGTTCCCTTGTTTTGCAATCTGTTCTTTAAGAAATAAAAACCAAGTCCGACGATTCCGATGGACAGATAAGGAGAAGAAAGAGAAGGATTAAAGGAGAGCAAAAAAAAAAAACTCACCCTTGCTAAAGCAACCGCTGGAAAAGTGTCCCAGACAAGTTGAGCTTCTTCGCCAGTGCCTCCATGACGCTGACCCGAAAGTATACGTGATGCTGTGAGAGTACTCATCCCCATACCGTCACCAACAAAAAGCACAACACCACGTGCCACACCACCGGGCGGTGTTGACCCGGTACCACTTGCACTTGCAGCAGCACGAATTCGAGATTCGATTCCCCGCGTTGCACTCTCGTACCAGATCTTCCTCTCTAAACAGACAAAAAAAATATATCTTGTTAACTATAATTTTTAAAGGAAACGAAAATATCACAAAATCCACAAATTTTGAATTGTTGATAAAAATCAAGAATCATTAACAATTAGATTTCATTTTAAAAAAATAACATTTCCAAATAGAATTATAAGATTGATACTATCACTCGGTCGTATTAATTATTAAGAAAATGATATGCAGAATAAATTTTGTTCCAGAAATTACTAATTACCATAGATGTAGTAATGTAGATCCCTTAATCCCTCATAACGAAGATTTTCTTAATGACTTTTTTACAAAAAAATAATTTTTTTAAATATTAACATTTTTAATTTTTAATGCTTATATGATATGATATGTTTATATGATAAACTTTTTAAATCTTACCATTTTTAGGACATACAACATATCAATAGATTAATAGATTAATCACAGGATAATTTATTATATTAACGAAAAATTTTTGGTTTATTTATTTTAGATGATCCAGTCCACAAATATCCTGCTCACCGCAAGATACCCCGCTTCAGAGGAGCTCCTGCTAATGCTTTATAGAAGTTTTAAAAAAATTATTGTTGATAATGTATATGATTTGGGGAAGGTAAGATTTGAATAAAAATTCAAAATTGTGTCGTTAAAAGAGCGACGTTTCGTTGGCTAGGGTTTGCCAACCTCATCAGGCTAAAATTTTATTAAATAGACAGGTTATACTTCAGTATTTTTTTGTAAAGGTCTAAAAGCACTATTTCTATAAATTAACAATAATGATATACCTAAATTTTGTTAGAACATCGAACACATGCTAACAGGTCAAAGATTAAAGTTTCGTCAAAATATAATAAAAAATCATTCCACACTTATGAGAATAAAATTTAAAATAGAGAGAAGACATTCTCAAACAGCGATTTACTGTCAACTGAAAAGAAATTTATTCATCTTACAAAGTCAAACCAGGAAACACGTGAGAGAAGTCAATGAACCAAAACATAAACACATTCTTAGATGAGGTACAAGTTATATTGAATTTATTATTTTCTTTATGGACACGAGTCCATACGTCTAAGTAAAGGAAAGAATGTTTTGTTTAAGAAGATATCTTCCTTTCTGTTGATAGTGGAACGATTGGTTTGTATATGAATTATTTCATATATTCGTCTTTTTTAAAATTAGGTTCATTATCCAATATTTTTGTATTTTCCCAATCAGAATTGTGATTAAAATTTAAACGATGTCGATAGACCACAGAATTATCATTCACTTTTTTATGTTCGTTGATGCGAGTTTGTAGTCATCGGTTTGTCTCTCCTATATAAGTTGCTGGGCAGTCTTTACAATCAAACTTATATACGACATTCGTTGTATCCCATTTTTTAGTTGTATCTTTTCCCAATTTTACAATAGAATTAGAGTTGTTGTTCACGATGGGAATAGAAGTACAATTAAATTCCCTAAGAACATTTGACAACTTAAAGAAATATTTTTCGTTAAAGGGCAAAGCGACCTTGGGGATTTGACTATATATATTGACTCTATTTTGGTTGTTATTATTCTCATTCGAATATTTTAATTTGTTCATTCTAGTACCAATATGTTTTTCGATAAAATCTAGAGGATAACTATTGTTTTTTTAGAATTTTTTTACTATTCTTCAGGTTGTCAAAATGGAATTTTTTATTAGACAATGAAATGGCTCTATCAACTAAGTTGTACACGATATTCTTTTTTTGTTGAATTGGATGATCTGAGAAATAATTAATTAGTCTGTCGGAAGAAGTAGGTTTTTGATACCAGTCAATGATTATATGATTATTTTCTCTAATGAGTGTCAAGTCAAGAAAGTTAATGGAATTGTTTTTTTCTATTTCCATAGTAAATTGTAACTTTTGGTTATAAGAATTGAAAGTGTCAATTACAAGATCGACGTGTTCTCTTCTTACAGCTAAAATTGTATCATCCACATATCTAAAATATGTCAAAATAAAGTTCAAAGTACTCTTGATATGTGCCTTAATTTTTAAATTGAAATACTCAATAGTTTTCTCGGAAAAAATTCCTAAAGTATCGACTTTTTTCGTCTTTCTAATTGGATGTAACCCCTTAAACTAATTTTTCGTTCTTGTAAAAATATTGTAAGTAATTCTTTTGATCTGATGATGATATCCGCTCATTAGATCGAAAGTCGGCACTCTAAATAAACATAATTATTATTAAACTACATCTGTGGTAATTAGTAATTTCTGGATTCCGAAAGGCAAAATTTATCCTGCATATCATCTATTTCATATGAAGAGGATCAATACTATCTTCAAATCAACGTATAATTCAGAAAATGTTCGAATGAACGATCAGTTCGAGTAGTAATAGTTTTTTTTACATGTAAATACGATTTAACACCAAAACATATAGAGACTATTGACAATAGTATGGACATAATTAGAAACATAATAGCTTTGTTTAAAATTTTAAGAAGCAACGATAACTTTTAGAAAAATAAAATTGCGGATAATTTTTTATGTTTAAATAACATTTTTAGATGTATTTTGACAGGAACCTGCAAACGTTTTCCATTTACAAGCAAAGGAGTGAGAGAGGATGAAAGAGAGACTTCAATAGAAAAACAAGTGGATTTCTTTAGTAAATTTATATCAGAATACAAAAGTTTTCATTTCAGGAAATGAAAGTTTGAGAAGTACATTTTCAAAATCTCATTTCATTCTCTAGATCATTCTGTCGTTCTTGAGTAAATATTATGCGGAATCAAATAGGAAATGGTTAAGAATACTAAAACAGGGGCCAAGATTTTTTTTTTATGTCAAAATACAAGTATCAAGATTGTGGATTAAAGAAATATGGTGCCTCTTGAAAAATGTGACTGTTTCGATTTTCTATTGTCTACTTGCATTTAGACTATTGCCAAACAGAATTGTAAATTGTTTCATTCGTATTTGTCTGACAGATGCAAAGGCATCTCCATTTGTGTTGCTCGGGGTTCCGTTTTGGGAGGAATTACCGAACTTGAAGATTTGGAATGCGGTTGCTTCGAACTTGTGAACCACTTTGTTGCGAGACGTGCCTCTCATATTACTTAAGGATCAAGCGATATTGCATCAGGAATTCATTAAATGTGGAATGTTACGAACACAAATGGCTTTTGTAGATAGCCACATTATTGTAGAAGGATACCTATAATTTTATATGTCAATTTCAAATTTTCAACGACAATTTATATTAATCGAAATTTATTCATAAATTGTTTTCAATTGCTTCTCTTTGTAATGAAAAGTAATAGAATTAAAAAATGTACTGTTTAAAAAAAACTTGAGAAACATCAATTTGTAAAAGTAGAAAAGAATTGATATATGTTACCACAGTTTTTCTTTCTTTTAAAACTATGTTATACGTAACCGAATTCTTTCCAGAGGGAAAGAATTTCGAAAGAGCTACTCTATCAAAGGAATCAATAGAAGACAAGAAATGTCTAAATCGTATTGTTTAAGATTCGAACAGAAATCTCATTAAAAGTTGAGTAAAGAAAAAGAAATCCGTATTCTTTACATTTAACTTTACTTCCTTAATAAAAAACACTAAGTAAATATTAGTTTTAGATTATTTTCACAATAATATCCTAATTTAACAACTGTCAACATATCTCGGAAATACATTTTATTTATTAGAAAAAACTCATAGATGTTTATGTCATTTTGACTTATGTAGAAATAAAGATACTTTTTCCTGAATCGAATATAAATTCTAAAAAAGTTCTGAGTAACTTCGTGTTTCAGAAAAAGCTCTTCTTTAATCCTAGATGGTCATCTGTGGTGTCAAACACACCAAAAGTGTGTCGGGCTCGATCGACGCATACGCATATAGTGCTTAATTCGTAATGACAATTGTACGCAATATGTCTCCTAGTGTTCGCCATATGTGTGAAAGGGGACCCTCATGTAGACGGCTGTGTTTGATCGGTCAGCGAATAATTAGCTAATTCGTATCCCATTGCGTGTCGTAAAAGGCGACTAAAGATTGATGACAACCCTTGTGAAACATTTCTACCCCACAACATCTAAACTTACAGCAAGATTTCCAACATTTCTTCAAGTTTAGATGCTTTAAGTTTAAGCATTCGAGAATTGATTACAGCAGCACTCGAGGCAAGTCAATGCAGCACTACACTGCAGTATTGAGACACTGAGGTGTCAGGAAGAAAACATTTTTCCATTTTAAATTCATTTGGCATCACTGATCTACATATTAACTGCATGGCGGATGCGCTGCCAAAAGCTGTGACTAATTGAACGCCATTTTCCTTTTCGCCGACTGTGGCCCGTGTGTACTGTTTATAAACGTACGTTTCTGTTTACATTTCAGCAGATTCGTTTGATACACAATAAATGTGACATGCGATCGGTGTGACTATTTAATTATATAATGTATCGAAATGCAATACAGGATTGTTTCAGAACAGAGAGTATTATTACTCAATCAATAAAACACAATTCAATTTTAATAAACATTTCTTTTTATTTATTTTACCTACAAAGTAATATTTGTTGAAATTATCAGCTATAATTAAAATTGTTTTATTGTATTATATAATTTAGAACTTTTTTTTTAAATAGTAAGTACTGTTTATACGTAAAACATTTTTTTCTTTCAATAATTACTGCCACTTTCTAATATTTTATATCGTTCATATATAAGATAGGATTCCTAGTTTGGATACTGTGAATAAAAAAATTAATTATTTGTTATTAATATTAACTTTTTTATGCAACCATTTTATTTATTAAAGAATCACACTTTTTGCAAAGTGGATCATTCTGGAATAATTTATAAAGTTCTCAACTTGCACTACCTCCTTCTCTCTCTCACTCTCTCCTCTAAGTTCTGAAGTTACAAGACTAAGTCATATAGAGATAGCAAGCACCACTCACTATTTGAAGTTTATCGTCCAAACTTTACGGATATGTAACAAGAGTTGATCGACTTACGAAT